TCGAAATACTCTGTATTAACCTTTTCGAGGTTGCACGATTAGAAAACTAATTTTGACTGCAACAATCCTGATCTAATACGCGATGTTCTGATTCTCTGTATAGGATGATCTCCCATAATATTTGAAACCATAGGTTCATACATAATATCGATGAATGCGATGGTTGAAGATTCGACTTTCTCCGGATAAAAAGCATTGATGCCATTTATCAGTTATTGCTTTTAACGTTGTATTACACAGAACCTTATAGATTTATATATTAACTCTTACATATTAACCACTCTTATATATTAACAAGTAAAGGGGATAGGTGTACGCTGGAACTTTAAATGTTTGTCCGCAATGCAGAAGGTCCGGCCTTGATTCCTTAAAGAATTACCATGCGTAAAGCCCATTTTTGGTGTTCTACAACTTTCTAATTACTTGAATAGTATTGACACGCAACGTAAGATCCATATCATTCACTCGCTAATATAGTGCTTGGGATATCCCACTCACTAATATAGTGCTTGGGATATCCCCAATGGGGGAAGATTACTATTTGCTTTTCATTCCTTCTTCGATGTAAGATTACCCTCCTTTGATACACCAGCAATCACGTTTTGTAGATTCCAGATTTACAACTGACAACAGTGTAAGGAAGATCACTTTTTGTAAGAAATCAATAACCAAAAGGTATAACCTTTTTAGCTGCAACCAGTAGTCACGATGTCAAACAAAAAACCTACAAGGAGCGTTTCAACCAATAGTTTAAGGTACCTTTTAACCTTTTCAGAATTGTCCTCCTCAGATTCCCTTGGGGGTTTTGGGTTTGTTATTTTTTCTTTGGACACATTGTAATTATATTTACCGTTAACGTTCACAACGCGTTCAGATGCGATTTAATCTCAAAATTGGACACGATTTATGCCCTTTTAATCTACGGACACAACAGTTTCATTAGGTTTGATTATCAGAAACAAAATCTGTTAAGATTATTCAGTTGTAACGCGAACCAACTGCTTTGCCCAACTGCTTTGCGCAAAGGTGACATGGACACCCTGATACTAACACGACAAAGGAAAAACATTGTAAAAGGTCTTTTTAGCTGATATTTAAATCAAAGTTTTCCCATTAGACTATACTTTTAACATGAGCACAACTGTAAATTAACGCCGTTAACATTGATCAAAAGAAAATTGCGTATTAAAATCACAACGCACATTTCCTAGACTACACGTCCTTTGCGTAATAAGAACCTTTTTAAAACGACCATCTACCTTTGTTCAAGGATAATGAGTTAAGGTTCCACCGCGTCTGACATTTGGTTCTAGTTAAGTCAGAAGAAACATATCAAAAGATACTTGTTTTATAAACATTCACATACTTAGGTCATCTGACTTTTTTTCGAAAAGAAATATTTCTCTTAAATTTCATCCTACACGCCATTATCACGGCATCATCAACCTCTTGTTTGTACATCCATATTATGAAACATATGTGCGTATAACAAATAATTGTTCTTGAAGGAAGGTCTGTGGATTAAGGGGTGAGGATAGTTTTACATCTAATAAATCTGACCTGTCTTTGTACATTTATTGGTCTCCCCCCCCAAAATACTCATGAAATGAATAATCACAATAAAACACTTTCGTTCCCGGCAGTGAGAATTCACTTTGAAACCAACTAATAAAGGAGGAATGTCATATTTTGTTTTGGTCAGGCACCTAATAGCCACCACACAAAGCGGGCTGACCTACTCAGCTATTACTGCTTGATAGATAATCCATAAGAATATGGTTGAATATAAACATCATAGTGTGCAAATACACTATGCCAAGAAGATGTTGATCAGTGACCATGGTGATTCCCATGTTAAACTAAAATGTTAACTTGGAGTCAGACCTTAAAAGAACTTGGTGTGAAACCAATACACAACACCGAATGTGATATAATTAACATTATCTTTTAAAATCAACCAGGTTAGCGCAATCATAACATATTGTACATGTTTAGGCCATAAGTGCATCAGAAGTATTGGGCATGGGTTGCACTTAGGTTATGCTTGGGTTATCCACTCATGGGAAAGCTTCTGTGACTTTTATCATGAACTGAGAGAGTACATGTAGAAGTGCACTGCCTTAAAGAGATATTCCAGCCACATTGTTGAGACGTACACAAAGTGCATACACATTTACCGTTCGACTCGAACAGTGAATACTTTGGTCATGATGCTGTAGCTGTGGCCTCGAGGCCATCGTTAATCAAACGACTATCTTAGAAACAATGATAAATAATGACATGAATAATGGTTTGGCTCTTTGACAAGAATGTATGTATGTATCGAAGCAGTGACAGAAAATATTGTGTATCTAACAAAAATACAAACAAAAAATCTGTTGAATATTGGTTAACTGATAATCATTCAAATCAGGCCAGGAAACAAACGTGGGTGTCAATAGAAAAACGTGTAATTTAAATCAAATGTGAAACTTTTCCTGAAAAAAACCCGGTCATAGCGCCAGTGATTTATTATGACTCTGGTGTGTTCAGTCTCACTATACCCGCAGAATGTATGCATAAAAATACTTCACGGAATCATTTCCTAACATTTTCACAGCTAGTTTTCACCTTACACCAAAATAATCTGTTTTTCGGGACAGTTAAGAATTGACGTTCTTTTGCACGGACGTGTTATATTTCACAGTGTCAGAGATGTATGGAATTTGTGTATTCCTTTTATCTGTGTCCAGTTAATGCAACTTATCTTCTCCACAGTGATGCTAGAATTAGACATGTGGATTCCATTTCAATTTACGAATGTGATAAAAACGAATATTCAAATGCAATGAAGTCTGAGGGCTTTTCAGATCTGTCATTTTTCCTAACGTTTTCCAGTATTGCCATACCAAATCATGCTTTGCAATTTAAAGCAGATGAAAGACTGTTCGTCGTGTTGGATTTGGACTGCAAAGAATGAGCACAGATAAAATCATTATCCTGTTAATGAAATGCCTTTCAATGGTAAACTCTTGAGAGACTTGAAACAAGTGTTATTGTTTATGGAGGATCGAACTTAAACGATGAGTCTCATGTCTTACAATAAATGCCAACATGAAAGACAGTTTCATTAACCGATGTCTCCACCTGTCAGCTCAATGGATGATTCTGTGAAATCCGTAGAACACATAAATGGGGGAATATAACTGGATCGAAAACCATAAAATGTCAAACAAGTGGTGTTCCCAACGCTAAGACATCACACCATATCGGACTGGAATATTCGTAGGCCATCCAGGGCAAAACCATCTGGGTCATTTGTTTCAATGGAAGGTTGTGTCTGTTGAACTCATGAGAAAGCTTAGCTGAGAGCATTCACGATGTCCATTACACTATGATAAATATAACATCAAACTTGTCTTTCCCACTTCTAGTACATCTATATAAATTCTGATAAATGTTTCAAATACCAGGCTAACGGCCATGAAGTCGAACTTTTCATCAATCCCATTCCAAAGTGACGGACATAGAACCTAATGAGAAATGACAACGAATAATAGTTGTATTCATTGGCGATGTTAGTTCCGATTAATGATACGAGGTATGAACATAAATTGAAAGATACAAGATACGAACCACGTGTCAACATATTAAGCAAATGTAGGTCAGGAATTACATACAATATTCAGACGTCATTCGAGTGGTGGGTGCGAGTGTCAGACAACAATGGTTAGTATGGTACATGTTCAATCACATTCACGGTGAAGGGTGAGGGTCAGAAATTGGTGGGATAAAGCGGCGAGAAATTGAGATGTCAGGGAAGACGTTCAGAGGCAGACCGTGCAACAAAGGGAGGGCTGTAAAAAGTAGACATGTACAGAAGTACAGATGGGTTATTAAGGCTGGGTAGTAGAGGACAGACTTGCGCGGACAAGGAGAAGAGGTAGAGGGGGTAGACATTTAATCTCTGAAAATATGCCCCCACCTAAATAAGGAACCGAGTTGACATACATACATAGGAGATTCAGAAGCCGAACCTATACTGCATTTACGACCATAGCAACTGCAGTGAGGCCACCTGTTGCATTTGATAAAAATGTGTGCTATATGTATCATGAATGCACATCGGATATGCGATGCATTTTTTAAAAATGTCACGTATTTACTTATGTGAATCATTGTAAAAAAACGTAAAAATCTGTAGACTGAGTTTGTTGATGAGTGCTTCAAGTGTGGAAATAAACTGATAAAATATAAACTGTTGTCGTCTTCTCATTAGGTGTCCTCTCATCCGCATAATCCGGATTATCCTCTTCTAACAACTTGTTGATCCTTCATTGTCCTCGTAATCCTTTATTAATTGGCAAAATGAAACTAGTCTCAGGACGCCGATATTTTTTTCCACTCAACCGTGAAGTTTGGACGAAAGGTCGGCGTTATGAGCCTGAACCGAGGTAGACAATGGTTTTGATTGAATCAGTCGTATAACCAATAACTGTACCTTCGCCCAGGTTGCATAATTCGAAAACATATTTCGACTAACTCTCCTGACATTAAAAAGATTGGTCGGATGAATAGTCGTTCTGGTATGAACCCGAATGAGATGTCCTCAGATCTCTGCTCAGAGCAGCAACAGGTAAAATCTGATTTTAATAATACCGAGCAGAAGAATGTCTGTCAGTACTTAGGAACAAATAAGTTAGGATTCTGGCTTAGAACTGGTCCCAACCGATGTTGGTTGCTTGGTGTCTCAGCTCGTGTCAACCAGTGTGCCCAGGCAGCGTTGATCGTTAATGTCAATCGCCAGACAGTCAGTATATACACTGTAGTCTTAAAGAATTCAAAGCGGCTCAAAAACCATCTCCCGTGTTAAAAAGCAAGGAAATCGAAATTACCTTCCCCAAGGCCTTCCGTACTAGGAACCAGCTTTTTTAACCTTTTCAGAATCACCTCCACGTGATTCCTTTGTATTTTTTGTTTAAGTAAAATGTAATGATATTTATCGTTAGCTGCCACAGCTGTACCATTTAAACTCATGATTTACCATGAACGGTGCCCTTTTCTTAACAAACACACTGGTTGCAAAAGTTATGATTATCTAAGAAATATAGGTTTCAGTCGATAATGTTCAGGTGTAATAACCTAAGGGATTACAACTAATATATAAATATATGTATATGTATATCCTTCCGCTGCAACACGATGTAAAAAGTCTATTAAATGAAACTATACTAAATGTCTACCATACAAATTGCATTTGTACTGAGCACAATTCTAAATATTAACACCCATAAAAGTCACCAGAAGATTATGTATTAATATCAAAACGCACAATTAAAAAACAAACTTGGTTCTCTACGCAACGTTAAAACTTAATCATTCTTTTTCAGGAATGGACGTTTCTTGGAATATCATTCTACACGCCATTATCTATAGACGTATTTCTCTGAATGTTCATGTCCTACGTCGTTACTACTGCATCGTAGAGGCTCAGAACGATATGAACACCCATAACATGAAACATGTGGGGAAATGAATAATAATTCTCGTAGTCTGGACTGTAGGTTGTGGGGTGAGGGTTGTTGAACATCTTGTAATATTGTCTTGTCTTTGTGAAGAGATTTGTTTCCCAAACTATTCTTATAATATTGATATGCCTGTATCTTTGTAAATGTACACACTTTCGTTGCCGCTAGTGAGAAATCAGTGTGACACCAACTAACAGTGAGTAAGTGAGTATACTATGGTTTTATGCAGCTCTTAGCAATATTCCAGCAATATCACGGCGGGGGACACTAGAAATTGGCTTCAAACATTGTACCCATGTGGGAATCAAACCCGGGTCATCGGCTTGACGAGCGAACGCTTTTAACACAAGGCTACTCACCGCCTCAAAAAATGGTATGGTGTAGCATAGGCGGCGTATGTTCATGTACGTAGGGCTACACAAAGTCATGTTTCCCACAACACTAGGGTGTTGTTGTCGTGTCTGCTGACGGTCTTGGAACGTGGAGATTCGAGAAATAAACATGCAGCCTGCCACTACCGGGAATGAAAGTGCGTTTTTCCACAAACATAGACACATATCGTAATCATGAACAGTTTTCTTGGATCAAATATATCTCAAAAAGTATATAGCCAGCAACAAGTCACTGCCCGCACCTAACACCCAAACCCCCTACAGCCGACACCTAACACCCGAAACTCCCCACACCCCTTAGCACACAGCCAACAGCCCACAGCCCACAGTCCTCAGCCCACACCCCACACCCCACTGCCCACACCCCACAGCTCACAGCTCACAGGCCACAGCTTACAGGCCACAGCTCACAGCCAACAGCCCACAGCCCATATTATTTACAGACCGCCGCTGTATGACTGGAATATTGCTGAGTGCGGCGTTAAGAACAACCCAAACCATTCTTGTCATCCTGAAACACTAGACGACGTCGTGTCGGCACCACGTGTACCTCCAGGAGCGTGTCACGGTAAAACTGCCCAGGGAAACCAAAGTTCATCGGATCCTATCACACCGGAATTCAACAACTTCAGCAAGATGTTTTTGGTGCATAGTTTTAATGGGTCGCTTTTAGCAATATGCCAGCAATATCACGGCGGGGGACAGCAGAAATGGGCTTCATACATTGTACCCAGGTGGGTATCGAACCCGGGTCTTCAGCATGACGAGCGAACGCTTTAACCACTAGGTTACCCCACGGCTCCACAACTGAATGAAATAGTTTCTGAGTTATTATATAGCCAGTAATAATAATTACAACTGCCTCCTAAGAAAGCGACGAGATTATTGTAGTGAACAGGAGGAGAGGAATACGTATGCTGCTAATACTTCTAGACTGAATCTTGCATTTCATGAGAAGAAAATATTACAAACGATTTCTCTTGGTCATCGGTTCCCAATTGCGTAGATCGATGCTCATGCTGTTGATCACTGGATTGTCTGGTCCAGACGCGAATATTTACAGACCGCCTCCATATAGCTGGAATATTGAAATGGAACCGATGACATGTGTCAACCAAGTCAGCGAGCCTGACCACCCAATCTCGTTAGTCGCCTCTTACGACAAACATGGGTTACTGAAGATCAATATTCTACAACAACACTGTCACGATAACATCTGAATATTGTGTGACCTTTCCTTTCATTTTTTTACTATCCATATCTCCTTCCGTTAAATAAATCAAACCACGCCAAAGAATATAACTATAATTCCTATCGTTTTTCATTCCGTAATATCCCCCGCAATATGAAATGGGGTTGATAAAAAGTTCGACTTCTTGACCTTTTCCTCATATTTGAAACATTTATCAACTGACTGACTGAGTTTGGTTTTACGCCGCTTTTAGCAATATTCCAGCAACATCACGGCGGGGGACACCTGAAATGGGCTTCACACATTGTACCCATGTGGGGATTCGAACCCGGGTCTTCGGCGTGACGAGCCAACGCTTTAACCACTAGGCTACCCCACCGCCCGAAACATTTATCAAAATATATCTGTTAGCACTGGAGGCGGAGAGACATGAGATTGATGAACGCGTCTTTCACATGTGTGGTTCTATTATATATAACGTGAAGTTACACTGGCAGTTCTCGTGAGCGACACACCAAGAATTCATTCAACAGACAGAGTCTTCAACACCTACCTGTCCGAGTTTAGTTTGATTGATCTTGGTGCCGCGCACTCGCCTTGTTTAAATCTAATGTTTTAAATCCAGTTCTGTCTATTGCGTGATGTACGGGGTTCACAGAATCCTCCCTTGAATTGACAGACACTGGTTAATGAAACTGTCTTTCATCTGGCATTCATTGTAAGACAGGAAACACATCGGTTAAGTTCTATCCTCAATACACTATAGTTTCCGTTTGTTTGAAGTCTCACAACAGTGTACAATTCAAAGGCATTTTATCAACAGGGAAATGAGTTTCATCTGGGCTCTGCCTTGGCAATCCCAATCCAAAGTGTGCAAAGTCTCCCAATAGCCGTACTTTAAATAGGAATATTGGAAAACGTTAGGAAACAGTATTGAGATCTGAAATGTCCGTCGACTTCACTTCATTTGTATATTCTTTTTGTGGGCACAGTCGTAAATTGAGAAAGAATCCATATGTCCAATTATCACATCAATGTTGAAGAACATAATACTTATGTATTAGTTGAACACAGATAACGAAACCACACAAAGTCCGTACATCTCTGACATTGTGAAGTGTTGCACTTCCGTGCAACTGAACATACATTCGTAACTATCATCAGAAACAGAATCTTTCAGATTTAAAATGAAAATAGCTGTGTGAAAATGTTGGGAATCGAGATCCTCTGAAACCATGACCATCTCTTTTGTCATTTCAAGCATACATTTAAGTGTGTGTGTGTGTGATTACATAACTTTTAAGAGGACATGAACTGAACATACCACAATCATCACAACTCTCTCACTCTACAGTAAACGTCATACATCTGTTTGAAATTACGCATTTTTCTGTTAACATCTACGTTTGTTTCTCGACCTGATTATCAGTTAACTGACATTTACAATATTCGTTGAAAGATACTGAATGTTTTCTGTAACTGCTTCAGCACATACATATCTGCTCTGAAGACAAAATACCAATTGTTCATGTGAACATTTATCACAATTTCTCAATTCATTTAACCATTAGCTGTGACATCACGGATAAAGCGTTCACTGTTAGAGTGGTACAGGAAATATGTGAGCACTTTGTGTACACCGAAACGATGAGGCTGGAATGTTGCTTTAAAACGTTGCACTCCTACGCGCATTCTCTCCCGTGTTATGATCCAACACAGATACATACGCGCGACCCTTTTCCTCTATTTTTGACGCGTTTAGGGTCTAAAAACGTTTAATATTTTATGACTGCTTTTAATAGCTGGAAGTTTTTATGATCTAAGAGTGAGAAAGGCCAGTTACCGCTGCCCCTTCCTAAACTATATATATTTAGCGTTTAATGATGATGTACACATTTTCTGTAAGCCGGGGAATTCGTAGTACTCTGGCAAACTTTTGTTGCTAGCTTCCAGAATATTTGTGAAGACTCTGAAAAACCTCTAACCTCAAGTTGTGGTCTATCACCCAAGCATATCACTGACGTCCAAGATTATATTGGTTTATTTGTACATAACAATCTTTATATTACAAGATCTGATGTACACAACGGCGCAGGATGAGTGGGTCAGATGACTTTGTGTGTGAGTGAGTGAGTGAGTTTGGTTTTACGCCGCACTCAGTAATATTTCAGCTATATGGCGGAGGTCTGTAAATAATCGAGTCTGGACCAGGCAGTCCTCATTCTGACACATGACTGCCTCTTCAACGATAACTTTCCCGACTTTCTAAACAACTCGTCTATGTGTATGCACCCCAGCGAAGTCTCCGACTGACTCTCCTCACCCAACGCATATCTCCAAACCAACTGTCTGACCGAGCCTTCTCCTTTGCCAGCCCTGAACTTTGGAGCTCTTCCAAAGGAAATCAGGAACACTTCGTTAAAAGAAATTGTTCAATCTCTGCTAAAGACCCATCTGTTCACAGCTGCCTTTCTGTGAGTGAGTGAGTTTAGTTTTACGCCGCACTCAGCAATATTTCAGCTATATGGCGGCGGTCTGTAAAGAATCGAGTCTGGACAAGACAATCCAGTGATCAACAGCATGAGCATCGATCTGCGCAATTGGGAACCGATGACATGTGTCAGCGAGTCAACCAAGTCAGCGAGTCCAACCCGATCCCGTTAGTCGCCTCTTACGTCAAGCATGGGTTACGGAAGTTTCATTCTAACCCGGACCTTCACGGGTCAGATGATTTTGTGTGCTGGCGGATAGGTGCCTCACTCTGGGCATTTTTATTCGAATGCTGGATGGGGCTCATGTCGTAAAGACCAGTGCACGTGAAGATCCGGGTTAGGATAGATCTTCAGCAACCCATGCTTGCCACAAAAGGCGACTATGCTTGTCGTAAGAGGCGACTAACGGAATCGGGTGGTCAGGCTCGCTGACTTGGTTGAGACATGTCATCGGTTCCCAATTGCGCAGATTGATGTTCATGATGTTGATCACTGGATTGTCTGGTCCAGACTCGATTATTTACAGACCGCCGCCATATCAAGTCAAAACATTGATTACACAACAGTCTCGTTTCGTGCTGACTGGGTTCCGACCTATTGCGCACCTTAGTACAATAACTAGTCCAGAATTTTGAGACCAATTCATTCAACTGGATACATAAATATTAATCAGTTTTATCTGATACATCTATGCACTTGTATATTGCAACACTACGCTCTTTCTAATCCTTGCAAACACGTCGTGCAGCATGCTCTGTCGTACAGTGTGGTCTGACAAACAGAAACATGGAAATCGTGGAAATCTCAAAACGAGGCTCTGCCGCTTGAAAAGTTTGGCGGTCTGGTACGGACTTGATATAATATCAATCACATTGTGCGTTACAAAACTACACTGAATAAGCGCGGAAAACACATAACAAGTGTAAACAGTGAGCCAGATACATTGTGAATCATTTTACGACCTCATCAAACAGGGCAGTCTGTGACGTCTTAGTTAAGGTCATACTGCCTACACCTCGCCATAAAATATAGAAATACGACTGACTGAGTTTGGTTTTACGCCGCTTTTAGCAATATTCCAGCAACATCACGTCGGGGGACACCAGAAATGGGCTTAACACATTGTGCCCATGTGGGGATTCGAACCCGGGTCTTCGGCGTGACGAGCCAACGCTTTAACCATTAGGCTACCCCACCGCCCCATAGAAATACGATGTTATTAAAGTATAAAATTATAATTAACTTGTAAATACCATTTTCTTATGAAACAAGGAATTGGAATTCAGTGTAACCATAGTTGTTTGTGGTGTCTCTTTTCACTTTCACACGAGAAAATTCGGATCGGCTGAAAAGTAGGTCATTGTCTGAATAGGTTAATGAGACTCATGTTTCGGTTTGAGCTGGAATATTGCTGAGTGCGGCGTAAAGCTAAACTTACTCACGCACTCATTTCAGAAAAGTATTAGAATCTGAACTCTAGAGAAAGGGTATATACAAGACAGGACTTTTAATCAGTTTGTAAGATGCGTTGTGTCTTCATTCCTTCGTCTGTAAGATGCGTTGTGTCTTCATTCCTTCGTCGTTAGTTTCAACATGAATCCTCACTGCCAGCAGTGTAAGTGTGTAACTCAACAAAGATACACGCATCTCAATATCATCACCATTGTGTGGGAAGAAATCACTATACAAGGAGCGATCAGTGATAAAGCCACATTCAACCCACCAGTACCAGCACCCTGAACCTACAGCAGACCAACCTGCGATAAGTAGTATTCATTATTAGGGGTGGGTATTGCAGAGAATTTTCATATTGCGATATATTGCGATGCGGAAGCATATATTGCGATATGTATTGCAATATATTGCAAGGATTATTTTTTTAACAAAAACTACTTATAATCGAGTTAATGCTTGATTATTAAGCAAAAACACAACAAAATCACTATGATTGATTAACCTGTTATAAAAACCTTTAATAATGACAAAATGATAATGTAAGTAACATCTGGCACTAATGAAACAGGGAAAAGAACAATTCAAAAACCGGAAATATCCGAAGATTTCCGAGTGTTACGAAGTTTTCCGAAAGCAGGTCAAAATACCGGTTTTCGATCAGCGTATCGCAATACGTATCGTTTTCATGTTTGAACAGGTAAATACCAGTAAACCGGTTATATTGCGGAGCCCTATTCATTATCATACATTTTGTATGGTGTAAATGTGCATGTTGTGGCGAGTCTGTGATGGTGATTCCATACGACGTGTGGGATGATATTCAGGGAAATATTATTTTTTTAAACAGGCCAGATTACACAATAATATTTGCTTCTGTATTTTGTGATATGTTATGATGACAAGCGCCTTACATATGATTGAATGTCAGGTGGGGTGAACCTGATATTAATTGACCTGATGTTAATACTGAGCAAGATATATAATCTGGGTAATAGGCATTTTGATGTTACTACGATTTTTTCGTATGGCGACGGCGACACCGTTAATTTACATTTGTACTCATGTTAAAGGTATATTGCATGTTGATGTTGGAGAATAATGGTATGAATAAGCGAAGAATATTTTTTACAATTTGTCACAGTTAAAGAACATTGAGATATGTATGTGTGTGTGTGTCCGTGCGTGCGTCTGTGCGTGGGTGGATGACATTATCGTAAAGCATAGCTGCTCTGCGTTTGGTCAGTGGGTCACTATCGACTGAAACCTACATTTCCTTTAGTGAAAGGGCACGGTTCAAGGTACATCGTGAGATTTAGTTATTTGAAACGTTTCGTGGCAGTTAACGATGGGCATAATACAAATTTCAATTTATTAAAATTTATAAAAATCACGAACGTAATCTGATTCTGGAAAGGTTATACCATCGGGGTGGAAACTGGGGCCTTGTAGGAACGTTCAATCAAAGGTGAAGTCGTCTTCCTTGAAAAATAATTTTTAATTCCCAACATTGCAGTTTGCTTATCACGTTTGAATTCACAACGGTTTGGTTATGCCTTCAGATGTGCGAGGGAAACAAGAATGAAAACCTTATGCCAATTTCGCTACAATGAGGATACAATGAGGATACAATGAGGATACTTGGAACAGTTCATAGAGAGTGAGTAAGTAAGGTATTAAACCACTTTTGAGCATTATTCAAGCACTAAGATGCATTCATTCTGTGCTGTTTAACTCCGCAGCCAGCAATATTCCAGCTATATCGCTGCGGTCTATCGAAAATAATCGAGTCTGGACTAGACAATCCAGTGACCAACAGCACGAGCATCGTACTACGCAATTGTGACACGATGACACGTGTCTGCCAAGTCAGCAAGCCTGATCATCCAATCCCGCTAGTCTCCTCTTACGACAAGCATGGGTTACTGGAGACCAATTCTAACCCGGATCTTCACAGGTTCCAGCACTAAAAATGCTGGAGAACATGAGAAACTGGCATGTTCATAAAGTCTCGTAAAAGGTGCCGCAGAAAGCTGCAAAAGTTTTTAAACGGCTGCGTTTATGTCCCATACCAGTTAACAAGCGCGTTACTAACAAACTTCAACAAACATTTGTATTTAATGTTACATAAACATACAAACTCAACATTCTCAAATTCTCTTATGCGTTTCTTCTTTTGAAGAGTGTATGTGCTACAAGGTTCAAGCATCTGCTTAAATGTTAATAGTGTAGCATTAGATTTTATGTTACCTTCAAGTAAAATACTTGAATTTCATTGGTCAATGACGCTTTAACAAGTTTCAGTGTCACCCCTCCCAGGAGGATGACAACTGGAAAAAATATTACCCGCTGCCACGGTCATCATCAAACTCTCCGGCAAGAAGCAGTATTGCTAACAATCGTATGGCGTCATAATGTGACGCATGCAGTGCAGGGAGTTCGAAAACCGTTCGATTAGCTGTTTTTGAATTCACTATTTACACATTTATTTCACCGACTTTCACTCCTTTATTTAAACTACTTTGTACATTGAATCGTTTTCACACTCAACATAACCATTTTTTACTCTTTTATTGCAACTTTAAGCTTGTCAGGATATGTTTCACTAGTTTTAAAAATCCAGTCGACAGGCAGACGCCATTTTCTTTACATGTCATAAAGTGGATAGCGACCTTCAAAATAACATTATATTTTGTACATTTAACATGGCGGTAAGAAAAATACGTCGCATGCTTCTCCCTCGGGTAATACACTCTGATGTATGCCTTTGTGTAGCAGTGTCATCCCTCGCCTACCGGCCTTATTACCCTCGAGAGAAGCATACAACTTATAATATTCCACATCCCGCAATATTTGATCTTAATGTCGGCTGTATGTAAAAGTTTGATTCTAGACAAGACAATCCAGTGATATTATTAGCACTGATCGACACTACTCGGGGGCATGATGATACGCCATTAATTAGGTCCCCGAGCCTGACCACCCTAGTCCATTCAGTTGCCTCTTGCGATCAGCACTGGTGGCCCATGACAAATACATTCTGAGGTGGAATCATCATAAATTTGTTCTCTAGTACAGACAGACATGAGAACAGCGTGTTTCTGTCGCGTAAAAATCAAATGTTAGTTCTCACGTAGCTGAGCAAATATCAGATGACATCTAATGGTTAGGCTAGAAATAAGCACAACTGGGCTATGTTAATCAAAAAGACATTGTTCCAACTTGGTCTTGGATATGCATGGGTCGGACAGGGAGTTGGGGATGCTACAGCTTTTTTATCCCTTGTTCAACAACGATGTAAGGATTGCTTCCAGCAAGAGTGGACCAGAAATATTCAAACTGGAAGATGTGCATATTCGTATTCATTGTTTAAACAACATTTTATGTGTGAAAAGTATTTAACAGTCGTAAGTATAAGGAAATTAAGAGTATCGTTATCGCAGTTTCGATGTGGCTACTATGATTTAATGTATTTTAAAAGAATATGTCATGTTACTGAGAGCCAATCCTGCAAAATGTGTGACAGGGATGTTACTGAAGATGAATACCATGTCCTTCTCATCTGTCCACAGTATGAAGACATAAGAAAGTATTATATACCATCTAAGTACACGTCCTGTCCAACATTTTACTAATTCAGCATACTAATGTCAACAGAAAATGTACAGCTACTTCAGAATATTGCTACGTTTATACACCATACACCATGCACTGTTAAAACGCAAACGCGCTTGTACCACACACCCATTGTAACTGTTTTCTACTTGTACTACGGGCCTCTGGCCTACAGTTCAGAAATATAGAAATAAATAAAATGAAAAAATAAATAAAGATTCAGATGACATCTCTTTTGGCTAGATGCTTGAACAACATTTTATCTGACCAATCAGAACATGTATCTATCTCTGTATCGATAGTTTTTTAGTTTTGACAGGGCATGCTTGACCGTGATTCTCTCATCGCTAAGGATACAAAACGGTGGATCTTCACTTTTCAACAGGTGTTCATGGGTATATCGAGAGTGGTCAATGCGGCATCGTCTTAATATAACCTCTTCAAATCTGTACTGACAACCCAAGTAATAGTAACCAATATAAGGTTTTATTGCATATAACTTATTGATACCCATTTGAGCATCCCATTTCTTTTACATTGGTGAAGGGATGTACGATCTAATGACGGCTTTGTAATCGGAGTATGGGATCGGAAGTGGTGTCACAGATTTGTTGAGTGCTGCCTTAGCAGCAAAATCGACCATTGTGTTACCAGAAATGCCAACATGGCTGGACAACCAACAGAGGACAATGTCGTATTCGCCAGTAGCAAGATCATTATATAATTCAATAATTTCAATTAAAAGTGGCTTTTTACAAGATAAGTTTTGAATAGCCTGAAGGCACGAAAGAGAACCAGAGAAGAATATATATTGTTTATATTCAGGGTGTCTATTAATATACTTAATAGCTGTTAGTATTGCGTTTGCTTTTGCTGTAAAAATTGAACTGTCCTCAGGTAATCAAGAAGATATTGTTCTGGATATTGTTTATATTCAGGGTGTCTATTAATATACTTAATAGCTGTTAGTATTGCGTTTGCTTTTGCTGTAAAAATTGAACTGTCCTCAGGTAATCAAGAAGATATTGTTCTGGATCCAATGACATTGGCACAAGCTACTGTGCCACCATCCTTGGACCAATCTGTAAATGAAGATGTATTTGTATCAAAATTATTTCTTAATTGACTAAATTCTAATTTCTGATTTTTTTAAATGTGGTTAATGTTAGGTCGACTTGTGGCCTCACCAATTGCCAAGGGGGAGAAGAAAGAAGACGGGAAGAAGATATATTTTCGAGCTCAATGCCAGCAGCAGAAATGAATGGTTTGATTCTTATCCCAAGAGGTGGAACAAGTGAAGATTTATTTAGTATAAAGATCCTCATTTAGAGAATTAAAAAAGGGGCGTGTGTAGGACTGGATTCATTAGAACATATCTTTGTGGTATATTGTGAAGATAATTTGGTTCGGCGAATATTTAAAGGATGCCCCATCTGCCTCAACGTAAATACTGTCAATGGGAAAGAATCAGAAAGATCCAAGACAAAGTCTCAGACCTTGGTGGTGAACGGAATCTAATATTTTGAGGTTGCTCGTACAGGCCCCACCATATCGGACCAGTGATCTTTGTTAGTGAAGGAGGGTAGTTTGGTCCCCTTCCCACTTGGAATTAGAAACAACTTTTAACAAGATATTTTTATGGATTAAACTTCTTTTTTAATTTCTCTCACAACGTTTCGAGACCATTCCAGGTCCCTTCATCAGGTGAACTTGACATCAATGTACAACTTCTAAATGCCACTGAAAGACAACTTTTAACAAGTCAAGTACCTTCAGACATTTAGCCTTTAGGTATTTAATATGTGGCATAAACGTTAGATGCGAGTCAAAGATGAGACCAAGGAAATAAGCTTCTTTCAGAACTTTGATGGGTGTGCCAATTAATGATAATGTATGGGGGTTTGTATTTTCTGCAGAAGTGTATACAGTTGGTTTTGGATATGGAACATTTAAACACGCTCTCAAGGCACCATCAAGGAAATTTGTTGAGGCAGAATTGTAATTGTCTCTCAGTGTTTCGCATATATTTACCACGACATGAGATATACTAAGCAGCAAGAGAAACGTCAGTTTGGAATTTTCCTTCGCAGAATTGACCCAGGAAATGGTCTCAAAAACGCAACCTGATCTCGGAGATGGTACGATGTTGTCCATGTTTTTATTGCAACACTTGCTGCACGTGCTGTTCACAAGGACCAGTCCTATAAAATGCACCCCCAAAACCTGGTTGAAACATTCACAGTACAACGTTGGCAGGATGCCGCGACTCACGACAGCTCAGAGGAACCAGGCGCTAGGAAGACTTGAAGCTGGCCACACTGCACAAACCGTTGCTCATCACCTCCAGGTCAGCGTTCGGACCATCTACAGGCTGCAGCAACGTTTCCGGGCCACCAACACCACAAATGATCGCCCCCGTACTGGAAGACCAAGGGTGACCAAAAGATGACAAGACCGCCATGTTGTGCGACAGCATGTACAGAATCCCTTCATGCAGGCATCCGAAACAGCACGCCAGACAGTGGGAACACACGGAAGACCAATCAGTACAGATACAGTACGCCGACGTCTTAACAGCGGGAACCTCCATTGCCGAAGACCTTACCGTGGGCCTATCCTCATCCCTCGTCATCGGCGTGAACGTCTACATTTTGCCCTACAACACCAAAACTGGCGATATAGGCAATGGAGAACTGTTCTCTTCACAGATGAGAGTCGGTACTGCGTATCAACTGCAGATGGCAGAACAAGAATATGGCGACGACGTGGCCAGCGTTACCCAGACCAATGTTTTATGGAAAGCGAGTCGGTACTGCGTAACAACTGCAGATGGCAGAACAAGAATATGGCGACGACGTGGCCAGCGTTACCCAGACCAATGTGTTATGGAAAGAGACTCATGGGAAGGTGCAAGCATCATGGTATAGGGTGGAATAGGCCTGAACCAGAGAGTGGGTCCTATGGTGTTCCAGAACCTTGGTCCAGCGAGAGGAGGCGGCATCACAGCGGTGCGCTACATCGACCAAGCTCTCAGACCCCACGTCATACCACATTTCGCAAGTCACTGGAACAACATTTTCCAGCATGATAACGCCCGGGCCCAAACTGCCAGAGCTACACGGGACTTCCTACAGCAGAACGGTGTCAACATTCTGCAGTGGCCAGCCCTTAGTCCTGATTTAAACCCAATTGAACATGTTTGGGATGAAATTGAGAGGAGACAGAATAATGTCATACAAAGGCCGAACACAGCCGATTTATTGCGCCAGGCCTTTCTCAGAGTGTGGTTCCAGGTGCCAACGGCCGTCCTCAATCGATTGGTGCACTCCATGCATAGACGTTGTGCTGCAGTTATTGCCGCTCGTGGTGGTCACACTAGATACTAAAGTCCTGAGTTATTCATTGATGTGTCAAGATATTGTACACAAAAAATGTTTTTGATCCGCTCATTATGTCCATTTCTGTAATGATTTGATTACAGTGCCTATCTAATTTTGAAGTCGTACTGACGTCTTTTTTTTATGCTGTGTATATTAAAATCATCCACAAAATGTGATCCATCGATTGAATTACTTAAAACTTTTACAAAGACTATTTATTTTAATACTAAATAAGATAACAGACAAAATACTGCCTTGTGGGACATCCTGATCCTGATTGTAATGATCAGACAGGGTTGATCGCACTCGAACTTATCTGTCTGTTAAAACCTGTGATATAAAATGAGGTAAACGAATATGAATACTTATCTGCAGCTAGTTTGTTTGCGGTGTGATGGAAAGATGTACTTCGTATTGTTTGTAAATAAAATATTTCAAATATTAGTGATAAACATGTAGAAAACCAGGACCGAGTGGTACATATCAATAAACAACCTTTACTTGTCATCAGTGTGGCACAGCTTTTACGTGTGTTCTTGACTGAATCCCTTCCTCTCCTCAACTGTAGACGACGTGGGCAACGGTGTATAAGTAAAATTCCATTACATCAATTTCTACTGGTAAATAAGCTGCAGTCCGTTGTACAAGCACCACTTGTCCCCACGTG